ATTTATTTAATTTATACCCTGCCTATCTGGCCTAATAGACCACTCTAGGCAGCTTCCAGTATAGGATAAACGATAAAATAAAGCAAAGAATTACATAAATCATACTATTTATTTATTTATTTATTTATTTATTTTATATCCCGCCTATCTAACCAATTAAGACTACTCTAGGCGGCTTACAGCAGTAAAACGACAACAATATAATTAAAAGCAATTTTACATAAGGAAAACTTTCATACTATAATACACACTGTGCCTGAAGCCCAACTGAAACAGATCCAGGGCGTCTGTTTCATCCAAGTGGGCCTGAAGCTGGTCGGGCACCACCCTCTCCACTACTTTGCTCATGAAAGAAACATTGGCGATGGGCTTATAATTGCCAATTTCGTCCACCACCAAATGAGGTTTCTTTCCTATGGGCCTAATGAGTGTCTCCTTGAGGGCTGATGGAAACCTGCCCTGAAGGAAAGGCCCATTTATTATTGCAGTGGCCCATTCTGTTGTTATCGACCTGGCTGCTTTGATTAGCCAGGCCGGGGAAGGGTCCAAGGAGGAGGTGGTGGCTCGGCAGCGATCAAGCACATTGGCCACAGCGTCAGACGTTACCGACTGAAAAGAATCGAAAGTTACCAGACAAGACGGAGTGCTGGACATCTCGGCTCGACTCACTGTACAGTTGTGCCTTGCTTAGCAATCGCTCCATTTAATGATGAAATCGCTTAGCGACAGGGTTTTGGCCATCGCCAGAGCGATCAGTTAGCGATGGCCCCTATGGGGATAAATCGCTTTGCGATCATGACAAAGCGATGCTTGCACGTCCGGGAGGAGATGGGAGGATCCACCTGGAGGAGAGCAGAGCAGCGGGGGGCTAAGGGGGAGCCTCTCATCCCAACCAAGGGATCCTTTGGAAGCCCACCCTCCACCGGGAGACACCACCACCGGCTGCTCTCTCCTCCACCGGCTTCCCCCTTTCACCTTCTAGGCCGGAGTCCGTCCTCCCCCTTCTCGCGAGGGGCACCTCTGTGGCAACTTGGGCCGTCAGGACACCCACAGGTCCACCTCCTGCCCCTTCGAGCCGGGGGGGTCAAAGACTGTCCACCCCAACCCCCGCCCGCATACAGCCACCTCCTTCCCTCGCCCTCCAAATGGCAGCTTTGCTCTGTGGTGGGGAAAGAAGCACTGCTCACCACCACACACACACCCTCCCTCACTGGCCGGCTGCATCAGCTGCAGGCTTTGCTTGCCTTTTTGGCCTGGTTGGGCTCTTCTTATCGCCCATGGTCATGGACTGGCGAAGGCGAGCCCCCTGCCTGCCTTGCCTTGCACCCAAGGAGCAGAGAGTGCTCAGGGCCCTCGGCAGCCAATCCCGGCCGTCCGGCCTTGGGCTCCGTTGGGGTGAGGGGAAGGGGAACGTGCACTCACACACACACACGCAAACACACACACCACACACTCGGTCGAGGAAAGCAGTGGCGGGCTCAGGCAGGCGGGCAGGAGAGAAAAAAAGAGAGAGAAGGAGAAATGGCTCCCTTGACAAGGAGAGCAGATGGGAACGTTGCTCCTTCCCGTGTTTGCAATGCAAACAGTTTAAAAAGGGTCGGGGAACTTTTCTTGAACAGCTGATTGGCAGTTTCAAAATGGCCACCTGCTGTTTTGCCTCGTTTAAGAGGCACCGAAAATGGCCGCCCCTATGGAGGATCTTCACTTAAGGTTAGTTTTGAAGCCCGTAGGAATGCATTAAACTTGTTTTAAAGCGTTTCTATGGGCTTTTAAAAATCACTTAGCGATTAAATAACTTAGCAACGTTTTTTCCGGAATGGATTAACGTCGGTAAGTGAGGCATCACTGTATTTTAAAAAGGAGAGAGCTCCCAGCGGATGGCCTCCACTTTAGATTTTTAAAAGGCTGTAAACTGGTCAGGTGAGAAACTAGGGGGAGGGCTATCACCTGAAACAGTTCCGGATAGGTCGTGCACTATTCGGAATAACTCTGCCTGCTGGTTGGACGCTTCGCTTATCCGGTTAGCGAAGAATGATCGACATGCAGCCTTTACCTTATTCAGGTAAAGGTTAGTTGCGACCTTAACAGCTATCCAATTATGATCCGTTGGGCTCTTCCTCCATCTACACTCTAGCCTTCTCCTAGTTCGCTTCAACACTTGAAGCTCCTGGTTAAACCAGGGAGCTGGTCGAGGCCTACGACAGAGAGGGTGTTTAGGCGCGATCGTGTCTATGGCCCTGGTGGCCGTGGCAGACCAGCTGTCCATCAGAGTGTTGACAGGAACACTAGCTAGGTCAGCCGTCACCCCTCTCATGACATCCTGGAATCCAGCCGGATCCAGTAGACTTCAAGGGTGGACCATAGAAATAGGTCCCTGCTCCCTGCAGGGGGGGGGAGCCACTGCAAGGCTACATTTTATCAGGTGGTGATCTGACCATTACAAGGGGACCAACACAAGGTCAATCACCATCAGACCACACTTGCTCCAATTGGTGGAAAAGACCAGGTCTAACGTATGGCCACCCAAGTGGGTGGAGCCAATGAAATGTTGGGACATGTTCAAGGAAGCCATTGTTTCCAGGAACTCAAGAGCTGGCCCAGTAACCTCTGCCCCTGCGTGCACATTGAAGTCACCCAAGACCAATAGCCTCGGGGATCCCAACAGTGCCGCGGAGAGAATGTCGGTCAGCTCCGAAAGGGAAGTGGCTGGGTCGCGGAGAGCACTGTAGCCCAGCAAAATCCCAATACGATCCCTGGCCCCGATCGGCACGTGGAGGGCATCTAGACTTGGCCTTACCACTGAGGAGTGCCTAGTAACATCTAAGATGGATTTATAGACAATGGCTACTCCCCCCCGCCCCTCCAGTCTACCCTGGGGGTAAGGGGAGGAAGCACCAAGCCTCCAACCTCAAATCCATGTCTGCTTCCTATCCTGTTTTCAGAAGTTCCTAATGATTCTGTTCCCTCACCTTTTTTGCCTATCTTTCCTTCCTCCTCTGTAACACAGTCGGAGCCCGAACACATCAGTTCTTATTCCTGCAGATTTTGGAAGTGGTTTTTTCTCTTTTTCTAATCTACCAGATGATGAACAGGAGAAGAAGAATTGCCCAGCAACATCTGGAGCAACCTGGGCAGGAACTCATAATCAAGCAAGAAAACAGGGAATTGAAAATCAGACTGGGCAGGCATGGACTTCCCATGAAAGGACTGATGCAGGGGAGAAACCACATAAATGCATATCACCTCAGTAGACATCAAAGAACACATGCAGGGGGGAAACTGTACCCATGTATGGAACGTGAAAAGAGCTTCAGTCAAAACAAGAGCCTCCATATACACAAAACAACTCACAATGGGGAGAAACCACATAAATGCATGGAATGTGGAAAGAGCTTCAGTGACCATTGTAAATTTAGGTCACATCAAAGAACCCACACAGGTGAGAAACCACATAAATGCATGGAATGTGGAAAGAGCTTCAGTCGGAGTAGTAATCTTAGGTCACATGATAGAACTCACACTGGGGAGAAACCTTATAAATGCATAGAATGTGGAAAGAGCTTTAGACACAGTGGTGCCCTTAGGTTACATCAAAGGACTCACACTGGGGAGAAACCATATAAATGCATGGAATGTGGAAAGAGCTTTCGTTATAGTGGTGGCCTTAGGTTACATCATATGACTCACACTGGGGAGAAACCACATAAATGCATGGAATGTGGAAAGAGCTTCAGTGACCATTGTAAATTTAGGTCACATCAAAGAACCCACACAGGTGAGAAACCACATAAATGCATGGAATGTGGAAAGAGCTTTAGTCGGAGGGATAAGCTTGGTTCACATGAAAGAAATCACACTGGAGAGAAAACACATAAATGCACGGAATGTGGAAAGAGCTTTAGTGAGAGTAGTCACCTTAGGTCACATGAAAGAACCCACACAGGGGAAGCACCACATAAATGCATGGAATGTGGCAAGAGCTTTAGTCGCAGTGATGGACTTAGGTCACATCAAATAACTCACAATGGGGTGAAACCACATAAATGCATGGAATGTGGAAAGAGCTTTAGTCGCAGTGATGAACTTAGGAAACATGAAAGAAATCACAGTGGGGAAAAGCTGTATAAATGCATGGAATGTGGAAAGAGCTTTACTAGGAGTGGATCCCTTAGAGTACATCACAGAACTCACACTGGGGAGAAACCATATACATGCATGGAATGTGGAAAGAGCTTTAGTCACAGTGGTAACTTTAGATCACATCAAAGTATTCACACTGGAGGGAAACCACATAAATGCATGGAATGTGGAAAGAGCTTTAGTCACAGTGGTACCCTTAGAACACATCAAAGTACTCACACTGGGGAGAAACCACATAAATGCATGGAATGTGGAAAGAGCTTTAGTAGGAGTGGTATCCTTAGGAATCATGAAAGGACTCACACTGGGGAGAAACCACATAAATGCATGGAATGTGGAAAGAGCTTTAGTAGGAGTGATACCCTTAGGAAACATGAAAGGACTCACACTGGGGAGAAAGCATAGAAATGCATGGAATGTGGAAAGAACTTTATTCAGAGCTCCTGACAAGTTAAGAAGGACCTCATTCATTTTTGTGCTGTTTTCCACTGTAAAGAAGAAACAACCAAATGCTGAAGCAATGCAAAATAGAAAGAGAAAAAATTGAGTGTTTTTTAAGTGCCACTTCTGATGTATTTTACATCTATTGTTAATTAACAGAGAGATACCACAAAATAGACGTGGAACCTTGTGCTAAGAAAATGAGAATAAGCATATATTATGCAATGAAATTTTTACAAAATTAATGTTAAAAGAGAAAAGGATGGATGTTCTAAGGCTAACTGATGAAATAAAAGCAATTACAGTCAACCCTCGACTTACCAATGGCCCTAGATACAGTGGTGCCTCGCTTAGTAATTGCTTAGTTTAACGATGTATTCGCTTAGCGATGGGTTTTTTAAACGAATTTTCCGCATCGTTTAACGATGTTCTCTATGGTGGATTTTCAGTTAACGATGTCAGTTTTTGCTCATTTAAAAGTGTCTTAAAATGTTTGAAACCTGTTTTAAATGCTTGGAATAGTTACTTCACCTCGTGAAACATTTTCAAACTTAATTTGGCTTTGTTCTGAGTCTTCGTTAATTTTTGGTGAATTTTCCCCCCATTGGAAATCATTGAACGGAAAGTGAAAGGGTGGGAATTCGAATTTCCAGCCCTTTCGCCCTGCCTTTTTGTGTTTTGAAATGCTGGAATGGATTAATTTCATTCCCATGCATTTCAGTGGGCTTCACCTCGTGAAACATTTTCAAACTTAATTTGGCTTTGTTCTGAGTCTTCGTTAATTTTTGGTGAATTTTCCCCCCATTGGAAATCATTGAACGGAAAGTGAAAGGGTGGGAATTCGAATTTCCAGCCCTTTCGCCCTGCCTTTTTGTGTTTTGAAATGCTGGAATGGATTAATTTCATTCCCATGCATTTCAGTGGGAAATGTTATTTCTACTTGCGAACTTTTCAACGTACGAACGTCGTTCCAAAACAGATTAAGTTCATAAGTCGAGGTACCACTGTGAAGAGAGAAAAGCTGTCATTTTTAAAATAAGGGTTTACCCTCATAAACAATAAGAGTAATTGAGTTTTAAAGAGCGTACCAATGAATATATATTCCGTATTATTTATGAAGAACTAGGCGTTTCTATGCTATTGTATTGAGAATATACTGCTTTGTAATGGCAGAGATTGTTGGTTTTTGGTTTTTCAAAATCTGCTCTCTTCGGGGAAGGGGCTGCACAGGGTTGGAGGTGACAAAATCCTTTTATCCTTAACGTCTGAGCTTCTCGGAGGCTGAGAAACCTAAGCCTTTGGAAGATTTGGTTTTGCTGACTGATGCAGAACGAAGGGAATATAAATTTTGGAAGAAATTTCACACAAAGTGCTATTAGAAAGGAAAGGAGAACCATAGATTTTTGTTTTCATGGAGTACAACAGACAGTGGAACTGATGCCAGTTATATTTTACAGTGGGGTCTCTACTTAAGAACTTAATCCGTATTGGAAGGTGGTTCTCAAGTTGAAAAGTTCTTATGTTGAATCTGCATTTCCCATAGGAATGCACTGAAAACCATTTAATCCGTATCTGCTCTTTTCCGTCCATAGAAACTACAGTGGAACCTCTACTTAAGAACTTAATCCATTTTGGAATGGTGCTCTTAAGTTGAAACGTTCTTAAGTTGAAGCAAAATTTCCCATAGGAATGGACTGAAAACCAATTAATCCGTTCTGGCTGTTTTTTTGTTATGTAGAGGTGCGTTCGTACATTGAAGCATTAGTGTCCATAGGAACTAATGCAAAGCTGGTTAATACGTACTCTACCACTAGGGGGAGATTTTTTTTTTTAACCTAAGATGACCTAAGGTTAAAAAAAGAGCAGGAAAGGTTTTTTTTCCTGTTCTTATCTTGGATTTCTGTTCTCAAGTAGAAGCAAAATTTAGCAAATGGAGCTGTTCTTAAGTTGGATTGTTCTTAAGTAGGGACGTTCTTAAGTAGAGACCCCACTGTGTATTGGAAGCCGCCTAGAGTGGACGAGTAGTTCAGATAGGTTGGGTATAAATCAAATAAATAAATAAATACAATCTCAAAAATGATAGAATGATGTCAATACGAATCCAAGGCAGACCTTTCAACATCACAATAATCCAAGTTTATGCACCAACCACCATTGCTGAGGAGACTGAAATTGAACAATTTTATGAAGATTTACAACACCTTCTAGTACTGACACCAAAGAAAGATGTTCCTCTCATTCTAGGAGCCTGGAATGCTAAAGTAGGGAGACAAGAGATAAAAGGAACAACAGGGAAGTTTGGCCTGGGAGTACAGAATGAAGCAGGAGAAAGGCTAATAGAGTTCTGTCAAGAGAATAAGCTGGTCATCACAAACATTCTTTTCCAACAACACAAGAGGCGACTCTACACATGGAAATCACCAGA